GGAAATTTATCAAAATTAAAGTTGTCTTGTTGCCGATTTAATTAAACCCAACTGAGCAGAAAACAGTTATCTTGAATAGCTGGAAAATACACCTCAGGCAGATGATATTTTAAAGTGCAAAATTTATGTTCCCAAGCCTAGGCTAAATCCGTTAAACATTTCTTATGGAAAATTACATTTATTTTGTTTTAATGGAAAAAAATTCACAGTAAAATGATTAGAAGAAAAAGCAATTTCATGTTTAACTTTTTCTAAAACAATTGTCATGCATGAGGTGTTGGTAAAAGTAAATTGTCTGAATTTTCGAAAACATGAAACACTGAATGTTGTTTAATGAATCAATAATAGAATATGAAACATGGTTTAAAGACATGCTTGGGTGGATATGAAACATGCCAATTATTAGTAACATGAGTATGTTTCCACATCAATTTTAGCAATATTCCAGCAATATCATGGTGGGGGACACCAGAAATAGGCTTCACACATTGTACCCATGTGGGGAATAGAACCCAGGCTTTGCTGTGAACAGCGAATACTTTAACCACTAGCTTAGCCCACCACCCTGTATCATGGTCATAAGAGTAGAAACGAGTATAAGAAATTTGGAACCATCTCCTCAACTGCTGAATACTTTAACTGAGGACCTAAACCCAGTGGTAACTCATGGTTCACTTTGTATTATTTAAGATGAAATTAAAACAGTTTATGTTGAGTTATTACATCCTGCTGTTTTTACAGTTGAAGTAGTTGTGTTTCAAATATTAAATAGGTAAAGTTTGTGCATTACTAATAAAGATATTTATAAATAGAAATAAGAACAAGTATTTGTCACAGAGTGACGAAATATCCCCCGCCTGTACACCATACTACCAAATATGAAGACAATCCAGCGATTAGTTCTTGAGATATTGTGGCAACACCGTTTTCCAACTCCAAAAACAGATTTGCCTGCTGTGACCTTGAAAATGGGGTCAAGGTCACCAAATCTGACAGGTGTATGCGGTGTCTGTATATACACTATAGTTCCAAATGTGAAGACAATCCAGTGTTTAGTTCTTGAGATATCGCGGCAACACCGTTTTCTAACTCCAAAAGCAGATTTGCCTGCTGTGACCTTGACAATGGGGTCAAGGTCACCAAAACCGACTGGTGTCTGCGGTGTCTGTATATACACCATAGTTCCAAATATGAAGACAATCCAGTGTTTAGTTCTTGAGATATCGCGGCAACACCGTTTTCCAACTCCAAAAGCAGATTTGCCTGCTGTGACCTTTAAAATGGGATCAAGGTCACCAAAACCGACTGGTGTCTGCGGAGTCTGTATATACACCATAGTTCCAAATATGAAGACAATCCAGTGTTTAGTTCTTGAGATATCGCGGCAACACCGTTTTCCAACTCTAAAAGCAGATTTGTCTGCTGTGACCTTGAAAATGGGATCAAGGTCACCAAAACCGACTGGTGTCTGCGGAGTCTGTATATACACCATAGTTCCAAATATGAAGACAATCCAGTGTTTAGTTCTTGAGATATCGCGGCAACACCGTTTTCCAACTCTAAAAGCAGATTTGTCTGCTGTGACCTTGAAAATGGGATCAAGGTCACCAAAACCGACTGGTGTCTGCGGAGTCTGTATATACACCATAGTTCCATGTATGAAGACAATCCAGTGTTTAGTTCTTGAGATATCGCGGCAACACCGTTTTCCAACTCCAAAAGCAGATATGCCTGCTGTGACCTTGAAAATGGGGTCAAGGTCACCAAAACCGACTGGTGTCTGCGGAGTCTGTATATACACCATAGTTCCAAATATGAAGACAATCCAGTGTTTAGTTCTTGAGATATCGCGGCAACAAACAGGTGGGACGTACGTATGGACGGACGGACGGACGGACGGACGGACGTACGGACGGTCGTGAATACTATATCCCCCGCTTCGCGCTTTCGCGCGGCGGGGGATAATAATAACAGTTTGTGAAATATGATATATGAAACATCAACATACTCAAGTTTCAAAACAATACAAAAGTTATTTTCACCAACAAAATGAAGAAAGAAAGACCTTCCCAATGTAACAGCGTTATCCCTGATGCATGAAATCCTGAATCTAGTGTCAAACTGGGTCAGGAATAACGCAGCTAAACCTCCGTGCTCATTTGCCTTGGCAGCACTGAGCTGATCAAATTATCAGAATTTTAGAAACATATATTTCTGGAACAAGAATTGAGCTGAAAACTGAAAGCTGAACCATAGGTAGTGTGATTAGGACTGATTTGATCACTGAATAGTTTTTCTAAATGTTAAATTATCACTGGAATCAGGTAATTTTAGGATCATATTGCCTACATAGTAATCATAAATCATCCACCATTACTGAAATTAATTATTTTTTACATTTGATAATCAAATAAAGTAGTCATGAAAATTGTCCAATTAATCACTAGAATACACACAAAAAATCCAATCAAATGAAAAACCATAAAAAGAAAAATAATCCAAAAAGGCGAAATAGCAAATATCATAATAATCAATCCATGTCATGCTGGTACAGTGTTACAGTGTGTGCAGACTTGTGAATGGGTGAGTGAGTGCCCCAGTGTACAATATTACAACTACTGACCAGTATATAAATGAGACCTGTCAATGATAAAGTCTGGACCAGATAAACCAGTGCTTGCCCAGTTTACCAGGTCGTCAAGGTATGGTGACAGACAATCACACAGAGCAACCGTATCTTAACAACACAATCCCAACTTTTCAACAACCACGACTTAGAAGTGTAGGTCACTGAAAGCATTGGCTTCAACTCCAATTAATAATTAGACATGTGATAATTTCATTTCTTGTCAGCTTAATTCAAAAATATATGTTTTAATAAAATATTAAACAATTGACCGATACATGACTCTGGGACACAGTCATATGTAATAAGTAGTGGAAATCATGTATGAAATATTAAATGTTTTCGGATGTTTGTAATTTTTTCAAACATATAATTTCTGACAGTTGCATTCTTGCAAAACACATTTATCAAATTATTATTGACATATGGATGGATATACCATAATACCATCTGATCCTAAACACAAACCATGGTGTGTCTCTGTCTCAAGTTACAATTAAAACAAAGACACTATAAGAAATAAGCTGAGATTTTACTAGGAAGAGGTATAAGGGAGGTAACTCTGTCTGTCTTGAGCCACAACAAAATGCTCAGTGTAAGTGGAACAAACTTGAGTTCAAATCCCATTGTATGCAGGATCATAAGTCATTTTCAGATGCTCTGTTGCAAATAAAAATTACAAATTATTCAAAGAGAGATTAATTACACTTTGGAATTAGATGGACTAATGATGTCATATGTAACGTAAGTCATCTTTGAGTCCACAAGAACTGCTTAAGTTATTCCTATACAGGGTATATTGTTCTAAAACATTTCATTTAAAAAAAAATTACATGGCCTACAAATCTGTTTACAACATGTCACAAATGTCAACAAAAAAGAAGTCTTACTTAATCTTTTTTTTCCTATCAAAAACAGGCCTACCAATAGGAATCGGCAACAGATTAATTGAGAATGTGACCCAAAACTAAGAAACAGCATCATTAATCTGAGAGCACGCTGTCGAAAACATGGAAACAGTGGCACTAAAACACACAGACGGCAACATTCCAAACTAGGCATGCGCAGAACAAGAGGGAAGTTGACTGCTAGTCACGAAGATCAGCAAACAGCGAGTACATTTACATATTACAGCGCTAATATAGAATATTCTAGATGTGTATTGTTATATTAGTGTAGTATGATGCCGTTTCCATGATTTGGGCAGCATGCTCTCAGTTTTATGATGTTGGTTCTTAGTTTTTAGTTAGTTCTCAACATTTTCTGTTGCCGATTCTTTGTGTTATGTAGACATATGACAGTTTTTGTTGCAGTCTTTCATATCCTGGTGTGTCAGCATGTCGGGGGAATGCCCAAGGGGATGCAGATATTAGACATTTAATTGGAGGAACCTAAAGGAATGAGCATGTGCTGATAAACCAGGGTGAATCTTGGAATCAGACCCATGATCACCATCTTCCCGAGGCAAGGGAGATAACTCACTGTAACAGTCCAATTTTCACCCATACTGAACAAGGCAGGAATTATGGAGTTATATTTTGGCATATTTTTATATTTTAACAAAATCTACATGTTTCGTAAACTAATGTGTAGATTTTGGTCGATTGCAGGAATTGCAAAGCATGTGTACCATCAACTTAGCATCAACAAAATTTTCCAAATCATTTCAAGTTTTTAATCAAGGTGCTCACATGATTAATGCACTCCGCGAAGTAAGACCCATTTTATTACAATTTCGATCTTGATTATCGATAATATGGTCTTTACTGGGTGCCGCCATGTTGTTGAAGCAAATGCAAGTGATATGGGAGATGGAATCTGATTGGTCAATAGGTGGGACATAGATTAGAAGGTACATAACTCGTAATAGCCACTGGTGGCACTACGATCGATCCCAGAAGTTCCAGATTAGTCGCCAAGGGTGGAAACTTTTAGAGCCAGTTAACGCCCTTGCCTCGGGAAGATGAATGATCATAGGTTTCTGACATGCCTACTAAGGGAGACAACTCTATTTAGCGAATTATGTCACCTAGAAAACTGGGCCATGCATGCCTACGAATGGGTCCAGAGTGTTTGTCATGATAGAATGGATACACAATACACTGGATAAAAGAGGATAATTCAGCTCTTGTTGTCATGGCTTTAAAGAACTTTATGTCCATAGAAGCAGAAAAATCAGATTCTCATTGTGTTGCTTGCCCATCATACCAAACACCAGATGGATATTCCTCACATGGATACAATGCTTGAAGCCATTTCTCGATGTCCTCCACCTAGATAGGACTTGAATATTGCCGAGAGGGACATAACTCTAAACTCAAAAGGCATCAGTGTTAACTGAAAATTTGGAACTGTTTAAACAATGGTAACTCACCCTCTCTCATGCTAGTGGGTCCACAGTCTTTGACAGGAGATTCCACCATGGCGTCAGCCAGAGTCTCACGGAGACGATCCTCCTCCTCCTCGCTGCTCCGGGGTTGCCGGACCAGGTTGGACTCGGCCCACCCACACAGAACATCACTCAGATTCGGCGACTGGTCAAAACTTCCTGCATCATCAAGTCAATGGTTTATATAAACTTTTGAAACATTTGAAGCAAATGTGTTAGTTGAGTACAAAAGGATATTCACCATACTGCTATGTAAAGTGTTTTTTTTCTCATCTGTAATATTTATTATTTTTATACTGTAATGAAGCAATCAGAAACTTAACCAAGTAGAAATCAAGTGGAATCAAGTCTTGATTAACTAACACCCACCCGCACCCCTTCCCAATTGGAACTGCACCCATTGCAGTAGATAAAGAAGTGAGACTAACCAGCTTCTATAAGCAGGGCCCCAGCAGTGTGGGTGTGGGTGCGGCCTGGCGATGGGCTGTAGTCTGTTGTGGAAGATCGCCTGTAGGCCGGCCGTGTCGTTGAAATGGCCACCGGGCTGGACCGGGCTTGATGGATTCTGGAAATCAAAATCACAGTCAACCCTTGTTATAATGTCATATTTGTAAATGCCATCTTGTAATCCTCAGTACAATGCCACCTTGTAATCCTCAGGGTAAAAAAAAATCTTGTAATCCTCAGGATAGTGCCAACTTGTAACCCCCTCAGTATAATGCCACCTTCTAACCATCGGAATACTGCCACCTTCTAACCCTCAGGATAATGCCACCTTGTAACCCACAGTATAACGCCAACTTTGTAACCCTCAGTATAATGCCATTTTGTAACCCTCAGTATAACGCCAACTTGTAACCCTCAGTATCATGCCACCTTCTAACCATCAGAATAATGGCACCTTCTAACCCTCATGATAATGCCACATTATAACCCTCAGTATAATGCCAACTTTGTAATCCTCAGTACAATGCCACCTTGTAATCCTCAGGGTAAAAAAAAATCTTGTAATCCTCAGGATAGTGCCAACTTGTAACCCCCTCAGTATAATGCCACCTTCTAACCATCGGAATACTGCCACCTTCTAACCCTCAGGATAATGCCACCTTGTAACCCACAGTATAACGCCAACTTTGTAACCCTCAGTATAATGCCATTTTGTAACCCTCAGTATAACGCCAACTTGTAACCCTCAGTATCATGCCACCTTCTAACCATCAGAATAATGGCACCTTCTAACCCTCATGATAATGCCACATTATAACCCTCAGTATAATGCCAACTTTGTAATCCTCAGTATAATGCCATCTTTGTAATCCTCAGGATAATGCCATCTTGTAACCCTCAGTGTAATGCCACCTTGTAACCCTCAGGATAATGCCACCTTGTAACCCTCAGTATAATGCCAACTTGTAATCCTCAGTGTAATGCCACCTTGTAACCCTCAGGATAATGCCACCTTGTAACCCACAGTATAATGCCAACTTTGTAACCCTCAGTATAATGCCATTTTGTAACCCTCAGTATAACGCCAACTTGTAACCCTCAGTATCATGCCACCTTCTAACCATCAGAATAATGGCACCTTCTAACCCTCATGATAATGCCACATTATAACCCTCAGTATAATGCCAACTTTGTAATCCTCAGTATAATGCCAACTTTGTAATCCTCAGTATCATGTCATCTTGTAACCTCAGGATAATGCCATCTTGTAATCCTCAGGAGAATGCCATCTTGTAATCTTCAGTATAATGCCATCTTGTAACCCTCAGTATAATGCCATATTTTTGAAACCCTTAGTAAAATGCAAGCTTTGTGTAGCAGATGTAACCTTTGTACATACTTATTATATATTTTTTCAGTATATGCTATTTTATTCCATTTCAGGTTCTGTGTTTAACTTTAATGTATAATGAGTGGTTAGGATAGTTCAAATGTAGTTCATGTGTCCTTCATGTACCAAGCTAATAACATATCAAGCCATGACATGCTCAACTGATTGGCCAAGCTAACCCTCCAGGTGACCCTTTGTCTCACTGCATGCACTCAGTCTGCACACACTCTCTGCACCAACAAGTCGACAGTTACACCAGGTACATCACATTATTTAAAATGTCTATGTATATTTGTATTGAATGTTATTGCTTTTAATGTTGCAGTATATAAACTAGTAAGGAAAGACTTCCATGCCACCTCCCTCCAAAAGTTATATATGGATGCATTGCCACTCAATCCTTTTAATAATATATATTTTTGAGGTTTTACTACCTGGAATAATAAGTTAACAATGTGTTTAGTAGTATCTAAATCACAGCTATTATCTATGTAAGTACATGTGGACAACTAGGCCCATCAATTGTAAACTTTTGGAATTACTAATATATAACCATTCTATTTCTTGTTTCTGGTATGAATGAGAAATGAGTGTAAGCGTGTTTCACGAAATAGGCTATGTTTTAAACCCTTTGGTATTAGCTCTGTACAATATGCCGTATGTTTGCTGAGGTTCACTATTATATGTCCACATCATGTTTTCAAGATCAAAATAGCAACACTGTGGGACTGGTCATACGATTCCGTATGTTTGTTTGTTTGTTTGTTTGTTTGTTTAACGCAACACTTAGCAATATTCCAGCAATATGGGGGCTGTCTGTAAATAATTGAGTCTGGACCAGACAATCCAGTGCATCTATCTACGCAATTGGGATACGATGACATGCATCAACCAAGTCAGCGAGCCTGACCACCCGATCCCGTTAGTCGTCTCTTACGACAATCACAGTCGCCTTTTATGCCAAGCATGGATTGCTGAAGACCTATTGTAACCCGGTGGAGTAATATGATAAGGTGTTTGTAAAAAATATGTTTAGTTCAGAGGTTATTTTGGATCTGATGCAGTACAGGTCTCATCCACAGCCCCACCTCCGCGGTCTGGTGGTAGAGCATCCGCCCAGAAAGCGGAAGGCCTGGGGTTTGATCCCTGGCCGCATCATACCAAAAGATGTTAAAATATGGTACTTGTTGTTACCTATCTGGCACTCGGCATTAAGGGGCTAAAACCAGGACTGGTCGGCTCGGAGTCAGTATACTATGTGAGTGAGGTATTCATGTTAAGACATGGTATCATGATATCACCATAAAATTTGCATTAGTCAAGAGTATTCCAAGCGCACGCTATAGAAGTGCAATAATCTTGGATGTGATGTTAAAGCACATTTTACCTCTCCTCATCCACAGGCACACACATCACGCCATAATTATCATGTCAACTATTTCTAGATAAGTATATGTATCATATGAACCTTGTACGCATTGCATATTTATAGAATAACCCACGAGGTACGAGTGATTACGGAAAATATGTCACGAGTGAAATTAATGTTTTAAGTTCCGAGCTTTAGCGATGAACTTAAAACATTAATTTCACGAGTGACATATTTTACGTAATCCCTCGTACCAAGTGGGTTATTCTATTTATTACCCATATTCATATTAAAGACATGTTTCAAGAAAAAAACAATCAACTGTCGCCGATCAAGAATCAGCTGTTTTGTATCAATCCGCGTGTGAAAAAACACTGTCCACTCACTCCAACCGCATTACTTAATCAACGTCTTGCTACGTGTAAAAATATAGTTCTGTTGAAAGACTTGAAAGATCACATCATTGCAGTTATATTTCTGTCTGAATTACACAGCGTACACTATCTAGCATTGATAAAAGAAGACAATTTTCAAAAAAGGTTCAACAGGCTTTTTAATCAAGGCTTGTTTTGACAAGACCTCTCATTGACAAGACAATAGCCGTCGTGCATCACCATGGACATGAATTTCACATTGAGAAGAGGAAACACGGAAAACCTGTCAATTTTTTCATGTGTCATTCGGTAAAAATGCTAAAAACTGTATCAACAACATAGAAGGAATGTACAGAAGTCATGTTTGATTGAGAAAAGTTACGACAAGTAGGTAAACTTTGAAAAGTACGATTGCTGTCAGTGTCGGAAAGAATGACCCGACTTGACCCAGATATGAGACAGCCGAAACAAGGAATGACAAGAGAACCGGCGTTACAGTTTAATCCGGACAACAAGTTTAATGAACATCGTTTGTGTTTTGAGACAAGTGTGACTGATGGGAAACATGTGCATGTGGGATTTTAGGAGGACTTGTCAAACGCGCTTGTGGAGTGGACAGTCAGATGACGGGAGTTTGTTGATATTTTGATGTGATTCATAATGGTCGAATACCTGTTGATAGACAAACACGGTATCTGGAGACTTGGTGCTAAGCTGTCCGCATTCACGGAGTTCATTTAGTTCAATGTCGGACACAGGATCAGCTCGCTGGGGTAAGTTTTCTTTTCCTTGTATTTTTAATTATTTTTGTTTTGATTTCAAAACCTATTTGAGTTCAGCAAAGTGCATCGATTTCGCAACCAGATGTTGGTAATCTTGTCGCTAAGGTAACACTCTATGCTACCCTTGATCTCCTTCAAAGTAGACAGTTCGAATTCTGAACTGTCTGATGTGCATGCCGAAATGATAAATTTGCAAAGAATAATGTTTAGTTACACCTTTCCTGTGTCATTATGACTCATTAACCCTCATAGTCTTATGGTGCCCGGACGTCAGTCAGCCTGCATACCGCTCAGCGCCGTACTGTGCTGACGTCGCGGTTACAAAAACGTATACATTGTATAAAAAAGTGTCGCGTTCTTTTTTCTTCACACAATGTTACAAACTTAAATTCTACGAAATGGCGTATGTGTATAATGTCTTTCGGAAAGTCTCACTGTTGTTGCAAAAGGAATTTGTTTTTATTCTTATGCCATCATTGAATGTGTGAGTAGTTTTAATTTTCGTGTTTTTCTTACCAGTATAAATTTGAACTAAGTTCATGTCAACTTGTCAAATTTAGTCTTTTTCATTGTGTTTTCCTTTTCATTGGCAGTTATCGATGTCATCATCGTTCACAAAGGCAAACCTGTCAATACAAAGTCCGGTTTTGGGTTTTCGTGTGGTCGAAAGATTCGCCAAACAGCAAGTCCTCTAACACAGACGCAAATCCAGACTTGGTGGTGTTGATTTTTAGCGCACTAGAAACAGTTTCTGGCAACATCACAGTCTGAATCTTGGAACTTCAATCTATGCAGTTTTGACAACAAAGACATTAAATGTGTTCAGAGGTTGAATTATGCGAATAACTCTTCCTGTCAGATCTCCGTCTACTTTAACGAGGTCATTTAGTTTCACAGGTGTCAAATGGTCAGCCATGTTTGTTTACAAACAATGCAGACGTAGTTTTATTTTTTGTAATTACGCTTATTGTCAACTAACACTCGTGCGAAATAAATGCTTTATTCATTTTACTCTGAAATGGTTGATATGAAACTATGTTCTAGTCTTATAAATCTCGATTAAGTGAGATTGTAGCACGTAAAACATGTGAATGAATGCCCTGGATTTGCGAATGAACTCAATGAGAGAAAAATAGTCCCGTCGACCAATGAAAATTGACATTTGTTTAACTGACCAATCAGCTTCGAGAATCACTAATTGCACACTGTGCAAATATCAAAAAGTTATTACACTGCATATTTGAGCCCATATGGGTAATAAATGCATGTATTATATAAGAGATTCTTAAGCTGATTATATGCCAACTTTGTAATCCTCATTTTAGTGCCAATATTTTAATCATCAGTATAATGCCAACTTTATCCTCAGTGTGCCAACTCTAATCCTCAATATAATGCCAACTTTGTAATCTTCAGTATAATGCCCACTTTGAAAACACCCAGTACAATGTCACCTTGTAATCCTCAGTATATGTATAACGCCGCCATTGTCATCTTCAGTATAATGCCAGCTTTGTAATCCTCAAGATAATGCCAACTATGAAATCCTCAGTATAATGCCAACTCTGTAATCTTCAGTACAATGCCACCTTCTAAACTTTGGATAATTTTAAGATTGGTATGTGGGAAATAAGATTCATTAACCCATACCAAACATCAAACTTTCTGAATGTTTATGAGTGCACAAATGGGTCCTCACATATTTCCTTCAATTTCCCTCTATTGTCGAATTCAAGGCTCTTCAAGACATCATATTAAATTATAACGTCTGTCAAAGGCTAATTCAAAATCAGGGCTTCTAAAGACTGTATTGCCAAATCAAGGCTTTCTCAACTTGTGCAAAGGTCAGTTTGAGACAACATCCTAATTTTAGACAATATTTTGGGCATGACTCTATAGCTCGACACAGTGATCCTAAGCATCTGCAGTGAAACCTGACAGGTGACACGCTCAGCTGCAGCAAACACTGGGATGACACAAGTGGTTTGTTCAAACACTTACTTGAGACTTTCCAAATCACACTCGTCTGCGGCTATGTCCATCCCAGACACATGTGCCTGTGTCTCGGGGCTGTGGGACAGGAGGGCCGAGGAGGTCGAGGACAGCGTAGTCGTGTTCTGGTAGGTCTTGAAGGAGAACTGAGGACCCATCCACAGCCTCCTGTGAGGCCCGACATGGGTGATGATTTCAACCTGCAGCACAGGGGTCAGAATAACATAGTCTCTGAACTTATGTATAAGGTTAACTCTAAACACCAGTCCTTGAGCTGAAAAGGTGATGAGTATTGGCTGCTAGAGCTGTGAAGGGATGAGTATTGGCTGCTAGAGCTGTGAAGGGATGAGTATTGGCTGCTAGAGCTGTGAAGGGATGAGTATTGGCTGCTAGAGCTGTAAAGGGATGAGCATTGTCTGCTAGAGCTGTGAAGGGATGAGTATTGGCTGCTAGAGCTGTGAAGGGATGAGTATTGGCTGCTAGAGCTGTAAAGGGATGAGCATTGTCTGCTAGATCTGTGAAGGGATGAGTATTGGCTGCTAGAGACGTGAAGGGATGAGTATTGGCTGCTAGAGCTGTGAAGGGATGAGTATTGGCTGCTAGAGCTGTGAAGGGATGAGTATTGGTAGCTAGAGCTGTGGAGTGATGAGTATTGGCTGCTAGAGCTGTGAAGGGATGAGTATTGGCTGCTAGAGCTGTGAAGGGATGAGTATTGGTAGCTAGAGCTGTGGAGTGATGAGTATTGGCTGCTAGAGACGTGAAGGGATGAGTATTGGCTGCTAGAGCTGTGGAGTGATGAGTATTGGCTGCTAGAGCTGTGAAGGGATGAGTATTGGCTGCTAGAGCTGTGAAGGGATGAGTATTGGTAGCTAGAGCTGTGGAGTGATGAGTATTGGCTGCTAGAGACGTGAAGGGATGAGTATTGGCTGCTAGAGCTGTGAAGGGATGAGTATTGGCTGCTAGAGCTGTAAAGGGATGAGTATTGGTAGCTAGAGCTGTAATGGGATGAGCATTGTCTGCTAGAGCTGTGAAGGGATGAGTATTGGCTGCTAGAGACGTGAAGGGATGAGTATTGGCTGCTAGAGCTGTGAAGGGATGAGTATTGGTAGCTAGAGCTGTGAAGGGATGAGTATTGGCTGCTAGAGCTGTGAAGGGATGAGTATTGGCCGCTAGAGCTGTGAAGGGATGAGTATTGGCTGCTAGAGCTGTAAAGGGATGAGTATTGGTAGCTAGAGCTGTGAAGGGATGAGTATTGGCTGCTAAGGCTGTGAAGGGATGAGTATTGGCCGCTAGAGCTGTAAAGGAATGAGCATTGTCTGCTAGATCTGTGAAGGGATGAGTATTGGCTGCTAGAGACGTGAAGGGATGAGTATTGGCTGCTAGAGCTGTGAAGGGATGAGTATTGGCTGCTAGAGCTGTGAAGGGATGAGTATTGGCTGCTAGAGCTGTAAAGGGATGAGTATTGGTAGCTAGAGCTGTGAAGGGATGAGTATTGGCTGCTAAGGCTGTGAAGGGATGAGTATTGGCCGCTAGAGCTGTAAAGGTGATGAGTATTGGCTGCTAGAGCTGTGGAGTGATGAGTATTGGCTGCTAGATCTGTGAAGGGATGAGTATTGGCTGCTAGAGCTGTGGAGTGATGAGTATTGGCTGCTAGATCTGTGAAGGGATGAGTATTGGCTGCTAGAGCTGTGAAGGGATGAGTATTGGCTGCTAGAGCTGTGAAGGGATGAGTATTGGTAGCTAGAGCTGTGAAGGGATGAGTATTGGCTGCTAGAGCTGTGAAGGGATGAGTATTGGTAGCTAGAGCTGTGAAGGGATGAGTATTGGCTGCTAGAGCTGAAAAAGTGATAAGTATTGGCTGCTCGATCTTTGAAGGGATGAGTATTGGCCGCAAAAGCTGTGATGGGATGAGTATTGGCTGCTAAAGCTGTAACAGGGTGAGTATTGGCTGCTAGAGCTGTGAAGGGATGAGTATTGGCTGCTATAGCTGTGAAGGGGTGAGTATTGGCTGCTAAAGCTGTAACAGGGTGAGTATTGGCTGCTAGAGCTGTGAAGGGATGAGTATTGGTTGCTATGGGGAGCTGTGAGGGGGGATGAGGGTAGTTGTTTTATTACTACAGTAAATACTCGGGGGTCTGTAGGACACACTACACATGAAAGGGGGGGGTTAATACAGCCTGCTACTGTAAATCATGAACATAATATGTCAAGTGACAATTTAAAAATTAATTTCCCATGTATCCATGATATACAGTGTCTTCTGGAATAACATGGTTTGAATGCAAAATCAACAAAGATATTCAGTACAGATGAACATTGAGAAAATGGGAGATGCTGGGTAAAAATCCAAAACAAAGAGTGACTGCAAAAATCTAGACAATGAATAGCAAGTTTGGGGATAATGACCCCTTTGTTTTTGAATAGCAAATCATGTTTAATTAAGACAAAAAGCAAAGCTCTGTCAACTCTGTTTCCTCAACTTTAACTTCACTTTCAGTGATCATGCTAACCAAGTACCTGGGAGAGCCATTGTTCGTCAAGGTCATCCTTTATGCTGTGGTCGGAGGAAAGACTGTCTCTGGAGTCGTGGCGAGATACTGGATCCATCTCGGACATGTCTGACAAATAGACAGAGTGAGTTACTAGACGGGGCTACCCAATATATACCATACTTCATTAAAAAGAATAAATGTGTATCGGGGACAGTTGCTGGGGAGGTGATTGATGGTTCTATATGGGGTCAATGACCTGTAAAGACCATACCGTGGGTGGTGGGGCGCTATGTGGGTGTATGTAAACACAAGACTGGGACTGACCTGGGAAGAGGGTGGGCTGCTGACTGTGTGACTCTCTATGTGGGGTGTATGTAAACACAAGACTGGGACTGACCTGGGAAGAGGGTGGGCTGCTGACTGTGTGACTCTCTATGTGGGGTGTATGTAAACACAAGACTGGGACTGACCTGGGAAGAGGGTGGGCTGCTGACTGTGTGACTCTCTATGTGGGGTGTATGTAAACACAAGACTGGGACTGACCTGGGAAGAGGGTGGGCTGCTGACTGTGTGACTCTCTATGTGGGGTGTATGTAAACACAAGACTGGGACTGACCTGGGAAGAGGGTGGGCTGCTGACTGTGTGACTCTCTATGTGGGGTGTATGTAAACACAAGACTGGGACTGACCTGGTAAGAGGGTGGGCTGCTGACTGTGAGACTCTCTATGTGGGGTGTATGTAAACACAAGACTGGGACTGACCTGGGAAGAGGGTGGGCTGCTGGGGCTCTATGTGGGGTGTATGTAAACACAAGACTGGGACTGACCTGGGAAGAGGGTGGGCTGCTGGGGCTCTATGTGGGGTGTATGTAAACACAAGACTGGGACTGACCTGGGAAGAGGGTGGGCTGCTGACTGACCACAGCTTCACTGGCCACCACAAGGGGGTTGCTGGGCTGCTGGGGCTTCACTTCTGTTGATGTTTTTGTTCTGAAAACAAACACAACTTCAGAAGTCCTTTCAGACTGACACAAGATTCCTCCATAGCAACATGCCAAGCATACTGATCAGAGAGATGATGTGAGGGTCGCAAATCTGTATTCCAGCGCAGTATACCTAACTCAATATGTGTTGCTATCTGTGACAGACATACCCATACATGTGAAATGAACCTGCATCATTAATGTCCATGAAGTGAGTTGGAGTTATCCCCCTTTAATCCAAGTCTTTCAGTAACAGCGGATCAGCAGTGTCGGAGAAAGTGTGGCACAGACTGTAGATATTCACCACTTTAGTAAAGCCATAAATATGGTGCTGACTCACCAAGGATCAACATTTGGAGAATCTAGGATTTGAACTCATGACTAGACCATCCTGGCACTCACATAGCCCCTGGTTCCTTACATCCATCAAACCTGTTAACCAGACAGTGCTTGAACAACATCAAAGGGACAAACTTGTAAATTCACCTCTGTAACAACCACTGGAGTCTCCCAGCCACGCCCAAATCTAGAGGACTGTCGTCTGCCACTCTGTCCCCTCCAGGCCGAGCCCGGGGCTCCAGGCTGTACTCTATCAGGCTCCCATGTTGGCCCATAATAAACAGTGACTCAGCCGGCTTCTTTGTACCCTCTGAAACATACAACACGATGAGTAGCCTATCAAATGTATATATTCAAACAGAGGTTGTCAGTGAGTAACACTGGAAGACTTCCAGACCCAAAGTATCATGTGAGATAAATGTCACTATGAAAGTCACTTATTGCACACAAAGACCAAAGAGTAGTAACTACTGCTGGCAAACGCATAAAGAAATTGTTAAACCTGTAGGAGGTGATGAGAGTTAAGTTGTAAAGTGTGCCATGGCCAAGTACACCGACAAGTGCATGTTTGAATGTAATGCCTGCAGAGCAGGCTCAATAAGCCCTGTGACTCCACGTGTCACCCTTACTTGCAATATTACTTCAAAATACTTGAACATCAAATTATTATTATTTTATTATTTACACATTTTTGCGAACTAATTAGCTTGGTCTGTGACAATAAAATGAAAATATATTTGTTGGTAAATATTTTATTATTCGGGAGTTGTTCAGAGCAGAAATTTGTATGTATAAGTATGTATTTCTGAGATGGATTTGCAAGAGGTTTGAAATGGCCAGAACATAAACATTTGATCGATAATTATCCAAAAAGTAAATCTTGAGGGGGCACGGGTGGCCCATACGTCTAAGGTGCTGCGATTTGCTGAGCAGAGTTGCGGCCCTTGGGCATGCCCGAAACCTATGATTGTGGGTTCGAATCCTGGTTTCCCCGGATTATGTTTCTAGGTTTGTCAGCATCATACCCGTGGTCGTGGGTTTCATTGAAGTGGTAAACGTCTGACACCTGCATCACTTCGGGCTTTCCTCCCACATTAAGCCGACACGCCGTGATATAACTCGTATACTGTTAAAAGCAGTGTTAAACCCAACTCACTCACTGTAAATCTTGAAATTAATTCTGACTGACTGCTGATCCCAAGACAAAAATGTGCCTCAATATTGAATGGCTCATTATGAACTTGTTACAACCGCAGCTTAATGTATGTGGCACAGACAGTTGTTATTACTGCAATTCCGCTATCCCAAGTGTGTTCTGAAGTTCCTTCAATATAGTTTACAAATATTTCAGCAAAATTGTGTGTGTACTGATCACCAGATCAGTCCATCTGATTGTTATTTACAGCAGCCACGAGCAGATTACTGCTACTGACACCTTGAAACAAATTTTAGTTGACAGAGAATGGATACATGTATCACTGATAACCTATTCTGACTCTCAAAAAGTATATTTGTTGTAGATCAAAACAGGAAGACTGTGGGACTGTTCACAGGTTCCATAGGTCTTTTTTGTGTGTTTGTTTGTTTAATGCCGCACTCAGTAATATTCCAGCTATATAACGTCAGGTGAGCTGACAAAAATTACAAATATAATCCTGCTCACCCCTCCTCTCCACAGTGAGATTCTGTGTCCCAATGGATGAAATCCTGGGCACAGCAAAGAAAGCAGCCACACTGAAGATGCTGTCACTGCTGGTGGCATGGGTGGGGCTCTGCTGCCTTACCCCCGTCCCCACCCCGGGGCCAATCCCTGGCAGACTCAGCTGTTGTTTGAGCTGAGCCAGGGGGTAGATGGTAGTGGGGTGGGGGTAGGGGGGCAGGCGGGGGTTACCCATGTTGTTGTTCAGAGCGTTGTGGCGGATCAGGGTTGGGTAGTGGTCAGGAATCCCTGCAAATTAGATCAAATCATGTCAAGAAGAGTATTTCAGGTGGCTTGTAAATAATCGAGTCTACGATCCATCTAGTGATATTGGAAGAAACATCCTATACCACTGACATGCTGTATGAAGAGACGCAATTAAAATGATCACAAAGCCTGACCATCCAATAATTTTTTATCATCTCTTATGGCAAGCATGGATTGCTGGGGGCCTATTCTAAAGAACAAAGGATCATAGTCTGGGAAATGTGGAATTCAAAATGACGTGTGGTTTTTTGCAGCTAAGGTGCACCTTATTCTGAATTATCTCCCCTGATGAGGGTTCAAAACCTGCAGATGACAAACCAAAGGGGGCATCTCACATCCCAAGAAGAAAGAAAAACTGGACAGTTGTGACAAGTGGTATCGAAGAGATAAATAAATAATATGATGACACAGACATTAAACACAGATTTTCCAATGACAGCGCATCTGATTTCAGAAACTCAGAAGTGCCAGAATGACTGTTGATGGACTACAGTATGGTTTTGTGCTCACTCTGCAACTCAAACCCTTAAAATGCAGGTGTCCCCAGGGCTTGAAAAGTTTTTTAAACCAAAATTGTCCTGCAAGGCAACCAGATAATATTTTGTAGTCATCCTGCAATATTTTCACTTGCCCTGTTAAATTTCATAAAGTTTTGAACAAGTGAATTTTTCAAGCCCTGGTCCCATAAAACGCTATTTCAATCAATCACCAAATTAAAGCAATGCAGCTAGCCGAGAATCAAAGTCAAATTGTCACAGATACAGCATTACATATCTGACAAAGAGTGAATTAGTTCTCATTCTTCCACTGACTGCACCATGTACCTGACGAGCCAGGGCTGCCCGACAACACCGGGCTGCGTCGCCCAGGGGAGGCATGGTCAATCTCATCCAGACCAGCACTCTTGTGGAAGCGGCTCATCCTGTTGACCACTCGAGGGCTGCAGTGGGTTCTCATGCTCACAGCACCTGTAACGTGCCAATACACCAAGTCACTTGGAATCAAAAGGAATTTCAGTTGAAACTTGATAACCATGGATATGTCATTATTAAAATGGCTGCTGTCTTGTCGCTGCTTGTTGTGTTTACCTCAATGTCACACAGGAGACTCACTTAGAAGCATGATGTACAATTAAGTACCGGTTCTAGTATTTTACTTTCACTTCTAAAATTTTGATTAGGCTAATCAGTAAACAATGGTAAAAGAAAAGGGTAGAATAGTACAAGGATGGTGAAAAACAATGATCGTTATGGATAAAACCAGGATTAATGGATAAAACTAGGATTAACAGATAAAAGGGATAGAAAGGGATAACAAGAGTCATCAGCATATGACATATTCCCCAGGCCCCCACAGAATCAAAAGAACACATCTTCTGACTGTTACTTTAAGTCCAACTTGATGAGTAGTTATTAAACTATCCAAACTATCCTATGGAATTGGGATTCCAAACCTTGTATTTCTATGTCAGGTACACACCACTATGAACAGAGTCAAAGTCAAATTTGTTGCCATGGAAACAGGAAAAACTTTGGAAAAAGTTAAATTCCTAAATAGCGAAAGGCACCACTTGATTAATACATGTACAAGTTTGGATGAAAAATGTTGAATCGTGTTTCCGTTCTGAATTTTGAAAATTCCTAAATAGCAAAAGGCATCACATTGCCCTTGGTGAATAACATTTACCAGGTTTGGATGAAAAGTTTTTAACAGTTTTCATGTTGTGCTCCAAAAATGACACCTACCCCCACCTTTAAAGACTAAGTCCAAATTGTTTCCATGGAAATCAAAAAAAAAGAAAAATGCCTCAAATCCACAAATAGCAACATGCACTTATTCAGGATCTGTTTGATATATCTGTCAATTTGGATTGAAAAATACTGAACGGTTACGCTCCAAAAACCTAATGATTATGGACGGACAGACAGGCATACGAACAGATGAGACAGACATTATATGCCGGGGAAATAAAAATATTACAAGGACACAACCAGGATGAAACAAGGCATGGGTTAGTCTAGCAAAGGATATAAGGGTAGATACTCAGGTCAGACTCGTAGTGGTCTGTTCACTTACCTCCATATGGCGTGATAGGGAACACATGAGTTGTTCCCCTGTGTGTTGTCACGGCAACCCAGCGAGTGTCAAGTGTGAAGGTGATGTCAATGACCTGAAATAGACACCAGATGAAAAAACCCCATTCCAATCAAAAGTCCATTCAAAACATGAATACTTTCCACATCAGTGAGGAGCTACAGGGGTGGGCCATCAAGGCAATATGTAAATAGTTCCAATACTCAACGACCTACCTTTGCCGTGGTATCTCCTCTGTGTAGTGTATACAGATGATGAACGGCCCCTAGTGAGGAGCTGCAGGGGTGGGCCATCAAGGCAATATGTAAATAGTACCAATACTCAAAGACCTACCTTTGCCGTGGTATCTCCTCTGTGTAGTGTATACAGATGATGAACGGCCCCTAGTGAGGAGCTACAGGGGTGGGCCATCAAGGCAATATGTAAATAGTTCCAATACTCAAAGACCTACCTTTGCCGTGGTATCTCCTCTGTGTAGTGTATACAGATGATGAACGGCCCCTAGTGAGGAGCTACAGGGGTGGGCCATCAAGGCAATATGTAAATAGTTCCAATACTCAAAGACCTACCTTTGCCGTGGTATCTCCTCTGTGTAGTGTATACAGATGATGAACGGCCCCTAGTGAGGAGCTACAGGGGTGGGCCATCAAGGCAATATGTAAATAGTACCAATACTCAAAGACCTACCTTTGCCGTGGTATCTCCTCTGTGTAGTGTATACAGATGATGAACAGCCCCTAGTGAGGAGCTACAGGGGTGGGCCATCAGGCGGAAGATGTGAAAGTTGTGTCCAAGTTTACATGCAGTCAGAAGCAGTGTCCCGCTTTGATCGAAGCCCATAGCAGCAACTGGTTCATTAGCATGTGCATGGAAGTGAGCAATCAGACCATCACAGTCTTGATCATCATTGACATGGAACTGAAACAAGAGAGTGTGTAGGTGTGCATCATTTCCAGGCTGGAAATTCATCAAAATTTGTCAAAGGCATCGTCTACTTACTCCATCATTAAATCAGAACTTGGTCCTTGCAACGGTTAAACAATGAATTAATGCTTTCCGTCACATTGGCAATATTTCAGCCATATCGTGAGGACATACATTACTGGTCATGTCAGAACGACCTTTCATCTGACTAATCAGAGCATTGCTTACAAGATCAGAAAAGTAAAAAAGGTTAACACAGGGTATTCCGAATGACAGTTACAGGCTGTCGTACTGAATCTGTCATCATCACTGTCTATCTCTCACTTCAATGAGACAAACATTTGAACGGAAGAGACTCTACATTTGACTGTAGGGAGTAATGCCATACAATCTATATAGCTAGGCCATATACATGTAGTAGACATTCCTACATGTTCTCTTGGTCAGTTTTCAAATTTTGAATTGAGAACTTTGCCAAAATAGTATTCAAAGTTTAATCTGGAATGGAAGTTGCTTGTTTCTTGTCTAGCGCTGCACACAACAATATTCAAGCTATATATGAAACTTGCTTCTAAACAATCAAGGTGGGACCAGAAATACAATGACTAATAGTATGAGTGTAAGATACAAGCCATCGGGGTGTAATGAAAAGTCCTGACTTATCTAGACACCTCTCACATCAAGTAAAGGTTCCTGGCTACCGGTTCTAACCCAAAAATCCCACGGGCTCATTACTTATTTACTCGGATAGGAATTTGTTCATTGATGACACTACAATCTTGGAATGTCAGTCAAGTGGGTGCTGGGTCAACATTTTAACAAGTCAAGAATGAACACTTGTAATGTGACCTCTGACATACCAAATATAATCCAATTTGACTTGAAATCAATGTACTGATGAAACACCAAATTTGGTCCGAAAATGTAAATTGAGTTATCTGGAAACACAAGACAGCAGTTCCCAGACAGTAGTACAGGAGCTAGCTTGCATCTAGGGAGTGCTGTTGTGATGTAACTGTAGTGTGGGTGTGGCCAACTCACATGGCTGCCAGTCACAGTCTGCATGTCGATGACGGACACAATCCCCGGCCTGTAGTTGTTGTCAACCTGTGAACTTGTCTCCCCTTTCTTGGTGCTCGGAGAGCTCTTGTTGCCTGTCACACTGCTCATCATGGCTTCCCCGAACATTGTCAGGCCCTTGAACGCTCCCTGGTAGGGAACACAAACTTGTTTGAGAGATTATTGTGACTCGAGATAGTTCTGGTAGAAAATTTGTATTTAGACGTAGCTTGTCTTCTATTTCATACCCCTAAATTAATCATATATTTGATACCTCTAAATTATTGACTACGAACTTTAGGCTAATGTGTGTGCTTTCCGTTCAGATCAAAATACTTCAAATTCTGCAATAACATTCTTGAATAAGTAGGAATATCTTCTTAATGACATCAGCAGCTGGACTTTCACATTTAACTTCAGCAAGCAGTATGTTAAAAATACTATATTGCAAGTATACCCCCACATAGACATGCACAGAACAGCACTTAGCTTTCCCCTTGAAAACTTTTTGTGAAGATCCCTTTTCGTTGCTTGTTTCATTTTTTGCTTGTTTCATTTTTTTGAACAATTGTGACATGCAATATAGGGAAAATAACAAAGATCAAATTGTCAGGATAATTATCAGGCAAAACTTAGTTTTTCTGGAGACTTATTCTGACCAGGATCTTCAAGGGTAGTTTAACTTTCATAAGAACTGCTCTTCAAACATGTCAAATAAAAGTAAGATAAAGATACTTGTAAATATGTGAAAGAAGCACTTCAGCTGAACATGTACAGTATGTTTCAACTAACAACATTTATCACAAATATCAGAGCTGGGCAGGCCTAAGGCCTCAGGCTTAAAAAAATAAAAGAATTGGTTCTCAGGCAATGACTTTTGAAAATATAGTGTGGGCGGGAGGTGATTTGGTTTTTTTCTGCTTGTTCAAACTAGTATGTAACCAAATAAACAGTTGTGTACTATCAACCTGGGAAAGGGCCTCCCTACATAAACAAGCATACAAACTCCTATTGTCGCCATGACCATAACACAAGATGTACAGTAAAGCAGTGCGCATGTAAAGGGAAGTAACTGTGTGCTATATTGGATCGCACTGTTTTTAAATATTAGGATATTTTAATGTTTTATTGAAAATGGAAACAAAAATGAAACGTCCGGCAGACTTTATGATGATGCGCATAGTGCCTGATAACCAAGACCTTTTTTTAGCTTAACAAAGATTCTGAAAGCAGTGCAGCATATATTTTATAAGTAGAGGTGAGGATGTCCAATTGCAACAGTCTTTCATTTGTTCTTGTTTGTTTTTTGTTTAACGCCGCACTCAGCAATATTCCAGCTATATGACGGTCTGTAAATAATTGAGGCTGGACCAGACAATCCAGTGATTGACATCATGAGCATCGATCTACGCAATTGGAATACGATGACATGCATCAACCAAGTCAGCGAGCCTGACCACCCGATCCCGCTAGTCACCTCTTACGACAAGCATAGTCGCCTTTTACAGCAAACAGTCTTTGGAAAGTCATTGCCTAAAAACGATATCTTATATCTTAGTAACATATAACATATGCATAGTGGAGGTAGTTTCGGAGACTGCATCTTACCTTGGCTGCACTGATGACTGTGGCAGCGTAAGACTGGGCTCCATCTCCCGACATCCCACCACAGGACTGATGCATCGACACCAACTGAAGTCATGAACAAAAACAAATTCAGCATCAAAGTTTCCTAACAACTATCTCTGACTAGTTCTTGCTGCCTTGCAATTATTTCACCAATTATCACATTGCGTATTGTTTTCACTTCCATTTTCAAACTACCATACCTGAATGAATATCCCAGAACAAAAACACCTCAACCACACATGCAAATCTGAGCAAAAGCAGATTTCAGTACAAGAGAATTGATATCTCCATTACCACAGTTACAGCTAAACAATTTGTGAAAAGACAATGAAGTCAGAATGAAGAAACTACTTTTTTTCATATTAATATTTATTCCTATAAATCTTTCCCTGCAAGTATCTGATGAGTGATCATTACCCGTCTGTCAGCATACGCCAGCCATCTTGTGCCCAGAGCGACAGGGTTAACATTGGGCCCTGGACAAGGATAGCACCCTGGATGTAAACAGATTCAATATTGTTGAAAAAATCGCAAGAAACCTTCTACAAAGTGGCATGACAAATACATCCTCGTGTGAAGACTCATACCTCTGCTCCACACAGACTACATGACAGTAGGGACAGGGATTTTATGTCGAGATCAGTTATTTTTTCAGCTACAGCTACAAAACCAGATTTTTTTTAAATTTAAAACTACGAGTTTGAATTTTTTTTAAAGAAAAACACCTAGCAACAATTTAATTCTGTGGCAGGCAAATTTTTTTTTCTCAGCAATCTGAAGCATAATTTTTTTTCTCAAAATTTTGTGGTGGGTCCCGAAGATATGAAAGACGTCAGCAATGATGTCCAGATTACGTAAACAATAAACTGGTGTGAATTGATATTTGCCCTACTCAGTTAGCTCTAACCCAGTAGGTAATTAACAGTTCTACACAGACTACTCACCTGACACCCAGAACAGCTCCCGGAACTGACACGTCTCATACACTGCCAGCTTCTCTTGACACACAACAACAAGGAACCTGGAACATAGATTGACATTATAATGACAAACACATGACAGCTCAAGCCCACAGAGAAATTTCACCATGTTCACTCAAGTGTTCAGGGTAATGTCACCTATTTCCAATGTTTGTTTGTTTGTTTTTCTGTTGTTTAACGCCACACTCAGCAATATTCCAGCTGTATGACGGTGGTCTGTAAAATAATCGAGTCTAGACCAGACAATCCAGTGATTGACATGACATCATGAGCATCGATCCACGCAATTGAGATCGATGACATGCATCAACCAAGTCAGCGAGCCTGACCACCCGATCCCGTGAGTCATCTTTTACGACAAGCATGGGTTGCGAAAGACCTATTCTACCCAGGATCTTCACGGGTCTATTGCCAATGTCATGAACACTGGTCGACAGCACCTGTCATTATGTAATGCGAAGTTTTCCACCATATTTTCTCCTATCTCACACTTCTCCCTTCTTCTTCGATTCTATGTGGGAAAGTACTTGAATCATGTTTCCAGCTTCTGAAATAAAGATAGCCACCCGAGCCCCCCTGCATCTCCATGGTTACGTCCAAAGGCTAGGTCAATTACGTGCCTCACGTGCATGTTGTGCCTGCTTGAACTGACCACATGTACACCTCTACCAAATCATTCTCTTTTGCAGAGCTATAAGGATAGAGTAAATGTGATGTGGGGATGGTCGGTCGGGCCTATCATGTGTGAGATAGGATAAGTATATAAAGATCAAACACATTCATGTGAAGCGAACCAAAACAAGAAGAGGAACAATCGATAATATTCCATAGCAATGGACCTTCGAACCAAAACCCAACATCACAGATGATCTTTTTCATCCAAAGCATGAATTTCACTAACCTGTGCAGCGGTGGCCAAAGCCAACAAAAAGACAGTCTTCAGCGTTAATGTCTCGAAGTCCTTCTCCGTCAGTGGTTCGTAATCGCCGGAAACAGGTGTTGAAGAATAACGTTTCGGTCCCACGAGGGAGGCCGAAAGCGAGCGGTTTTGTCGGCTAATTTGTAGGAACGGATGAGATTGTAGCTCCGTAACCGTAGAAACCTTCGCACCGGAAGTGGTGGCAATGACTGAGTTAACAGCCATGAGGTAGGTTGCCAATGTGGATCCCTGAAGTTTCCAAGTCAAATGCAGGTGATGTAAATATTCGGCGATCTGTTGAGGCGAAGCCGAGGTAGGAGTGGAAATATCAGAAATATTACAAATCAGTCCCAAAAGCCGTTCACTTGTGGTCATAATGGCGCCTGGTGGAAGAACGATGGGCAGCAGTGATGGTCTTCGCTACCCGCTTGGAGTAGCCTTTTGCATTGAGGGACTTCTGCAGATGCGCCAAACACAAAGATGGAGCGTTGTCTGGGACTGATGGAGCCACCGAGATGAGGTTGAAGGAGGAGGACGTCGCGGAACGGAAGAAGTTGACATCGTTCGTCGGCGTGCCTAAGCAAGGTGGGGAACCAGTTGCGCGTTGGCCAATAGAGAGCGACCAAAATCAGAGACAGGCGATTGGTGGCTGTTACGTTCTGCAGGACCCGTGAAAGAAGCCCTGTCGGGAGAAAGGTGTAAGCATTGAGACCTTCCCACTAGATTGCCATCACGTCTTGCTCACAAGCCCCCGGGTCAGGGATGGGATATACGAATCGGGATAGTTGAGCATTGAAGCGGATGGCTGAGGGGTCTTACTTCCAGGACGATAAAATTGTCATATCCATTGGAACGATTGTGGATGAAGAGACCACTCGGTTGGTGATTGTCTGTCAAGTTAGGACAGGGAGTATCCTATAATGTTGGATAGCCCCGGAATTGGCCGAGCGCAAACATGTATGTTGAGAGAGTCGATAAGACGAAAGAACTCGAGAGCAAGTGAGAGTAAGGACATCGACTTCGTGGATCCCATCCTGTTGATGTACCACACTACTGCCATGCTGTCAGACCGGATGAGGTTTGACCAATGCGAAATCGTGAGAATGGCTGCCTTGAACTTGAGATTTTTTATGTGAAGGCGACATGCTCCCAAATCGATGGTTGAAGCATTGACGAACAGATGAAGGAGACCCACTTCGCAATTGCTCGACGCGACCAGCCACCATTGAAGATTAGGGTGGAGATGGACCAGTAGACAGATCGGCGTGTGACAATCGGTGATGCCGATAAAGGGTGCAGGAAGCAGTCGCAAATGAAGTCGCCGCCGATGTTAGGAGGCCCAGGAGTGCGAGAAGTGCCAATGGCGCAGTTGAAGTGGCTGTTTGAGTGCTAACAATTCATGACGTTGAATCTTCACCCACCGGTCGTGCGGGACGAACATCAGACCTTGCTGAGTGTCAAACAGGGCTCCTAGGAATTGGGGACGTTGGGTGGGAATGAGTTCCCGATTTTTGTATGTTGATTAGCCAGCAGAGTTGTCAGAGAAGACGCAGTGTGAAGGCGAGTTGTAGATGGACAAAATTGGCATTTGCGTGAACTCGAATGCAGTCATCAAGATAAGAATCAAACATGATCCCGCGAAAATGTAGGAACTTCGTGACAGGCCGGGTCAGGCGGGTAAAAAGGCACGGGGCCGAAGAAATTCCAAACGGGAGCACCTTCCACTGGTAATGAAAACCGAAGCAGAGGAAGTGACGGTGCTCCCGATGGATGGGAAGGTGCAGAAAGGCGTCTTGGAGATCTAAGCTGACCATAAAATTGTCAGGATGAAAGAGCGTACGAAGGAGCGTGATCGACGTCATGCGAAAATGTTATGGAGTTTCGAGGTTCGTAGCGTTGAAAGTTTTCATATTGAAAATGAACCGGAAGTTTTAAACTGTCCTTTTTGGGAACAAGAAAAATGGGGGAAGTGCGTCGAGACATTCGATAGCGTTTTTTGCTAGTAATGTACCTACAGTGTTGATCAACGTTGGTAACTGTCTGGCCGGATACCTTCTCCGACGGGGATGGAGCATCATAGGTGGCGGTGTGATCATCAGTAATCGATACCCTTGTCGAAGTAGCTGCGTGATGAAGGGTTCTGCGAACAAGGTCCAATTGCTTGCAAAAATCCCGAGTCTTCCGCCTACGGCTAGGTGTAACGGAAACAGCTTGGGGCAGAAGTTCCCAGTCACACCGGCGCCCTTTGGTCCGGTAGATGAGACCAATCGACCCAAGGAGGGCTTCGAACCGCATTGACAATCCGGCCTCTGTTGCACCACCGAAAGGGATTAGGCCGAGAGGAAATAATCGCGCCTGGCAGGAACAAATTCTGAATATTGGCAATCCTTTTTTTCTTGATCCTCCAATTGTCTTTTCTGGAGACGTAGAAGATCCACAGAGACCTGAAGGCTAGAGTCTCTATGCACATCCTGTGCGACCTGTTGTATAGCATCAGCAAACAAGGAGCAGGAAGACCAGGGTTGCTGATACAGTTTGGCCTTGAATTGACCATCCCAGGAAGAATGTTGCAGTACACCACGGAGACATGGAGCCAGTGTGGTTTGTGAGGAGGTCCAAGATCTGCATAAGCTTGTCTTGTGTAAGGTTGATCACTGCAAATCCGGTAAACCGTTCTGCAGCCGAAGTTGTCCACTAATACAGGACTGATTCAGGGTCTGTGGTAACTGCAACTTATCAGCGATCCAATGAAAGGTCAATTCAGGGTCTCGGGTTCAAAACTCCCGACCGAGGAAGGCGGTGACAAGGGATCATCAAGAACGCCAGGTCCGGGAGGGATCTAGCAAGAGGCAACTGAAACTGGAACTGGATCAGTAGGTTGAGGAGTCGATGAAGGATCCGAACGGTGAAGGACAGTGAATATCACTTTCACAAGAGAGTCGAATGATGGTTCTGAAGTCCCTGGGATCCCAGCTCGTGGTAGGATAGGTGGACAAGGGTCGGGAGGAGCTGACCTAGAAGGATTACGATCGGGCGATCTGTGCACCGAACGAAAACGACTCTGGGAATGACTTTGACGATCACATTCTTAATACGATGACAAACGCCAATCTTGTGAACTGTGAGGCGGGTAGGCGTAGTGAGAACTGTCTGACGAGTGGTCAATTGAAGACAATTGGGAGCAGGAATGATAAAAATCATGGTGCAGCCAAGGAGTGAGAATGGTGATTTGCTCGAGAATGCAGATCCTGGGAGCGGGAACACCGATCGTGGGAGCGGGAGTGTGACAATCTAAAACAACCTGAGAGGTAGTAATACTGACAGTCGTATCTCTAGCAGCCAGGGGAGAAGAGCAAGCCGAATTGAAGGGCGGTATTTTAAATTGACTGGAGCAATCTGCTGCTGGTGAAATGAGTGAGGGACCCAGATTGGTCAGACAGACCGAGCGCACATCGACCTGCATATTTTCTTGTGAAGTGGTCGTGAGTCGAAATATCGACTGTAAGGAAGCTGTCTGAGAGGGTCTCGTCTGTGACAGAAATTACAGGCTCCTCACAGTTGTCTTTAGGGCATGAGGAGCTGGTTTTAGCCTTGGAATCCAGCCGCTTTGGAATAGCGATCAGCAACGCTGCAGGTAAACTTTTAACGCCAAGTTAGTTAGGGAATGACATTCTGCACATCCAGGAACCCAGGGTGCACTGTTCCCGACAGTCACAACAATAAGTGAGGATCCGATAAGATACGTTTGAATTGTTTACAAGCAGAACGTTGTCTGTCCTTTTTTCCCATATTTATAGGCCGTAGGATACTTGACAACTTGGCGACGGACAAACAATATTCTCTGATATTACAAACACGTCACCACACGGTAGCGATGATTTGGTAGAGGTGTACATGTGGTCAGTTCAAGCAGGCACATCATGCATGAGAGGAACGTAATTGACCAACTTCTGGACGTAACCATGGAGATGCAGGGGGGCTTGGGTGGCTATCGTTATTTCAGAAGCTGGAAACATGATTCAAGTACTTTCCCACATAGGATCGAAGAAGAAGGGAGAAGTTCAAAGTGTGAGCTAGGATAGGTTGAAAAATTTACTCTTCACGAGGTCAGTATGTGAAAACAAGGACCCTCAGACCCATCCCGACCCCTTAGGCGGTCAATACTGATCATGTGACGAGTCAATATTCAAAGTCAGTGTCAGACACATGATTTGGGGGTCGCCGTTGAAATGCATTGTTTCACCACGTGGTACAGGTAAACCTATCAGAATACACGTTAGGTAACTTGCTTATCTCACATAAGTATCGTTAAACTGAAATGAACCAATGTTTATCCGAACCAATGTTTACAATTTATACAACAGTACCTTGAGATCTACCTTCACCTCACCCTTTGTTCTTGCAGCTCTACCTCTACATCCTGATCAGTACTGTCACTCGTCCTCTGTCTCTATAACTGGGTATACCACACCCACCAGACACCACCTGAGAGTTGGTTCTACCAGGAGGTCACCCAAGGTCACCTGAGGTCACTTACCTTTTGTTACTCTCTATGTTGAGGACTGGTAGTGTCTTGAAGGAGATGTGGTGGACCTCATCTCCTGACCTCAGTGAGACTAGCTTCACACTACAGAATGGCTGACCAGCACTGAAACACAACACCATCATCACCACATGGAGATAATGATATAATGAGAGGGGACGGGTAGCCTAGTGGTTAAAGTGTTAGTCTGTTATGCCAAGGAGCCAGGTTTAACTCCCCACCTGGGTACAATGAGTGAAGCCCATTTCTGGTGTCCAGTCGTGATACGAATGGAATGTTTTAGTGTACTAACACCCCATAGCCTGTCTCATATGAGTCTCCCATCTGCCCAGCCCTTTCTGTAATGCAAAAGCCCTAAATGAAGCAAGTCTATGTTTTTCTCAGGTCCTGAATCTCCCATTTCACTGGGGCTCCTTTTCAATTTAAATCTAGTTATTTGTTTCTATCTTTTTTTCAGAAACTCTAACTCTGACACCCTACTAACCATGCTTAATCACACACTCACTCATAATAAAATGTCCCTAACTCATTAATAATAAATGTTTGAAAATACTTCATCCAATTTTTTTCACATACTGAAATGTAAGCATACTTTATGAGATAAACTGACTAAATCTATTTCTTAGTATGCATCACATCTTGATACACAATTTGTGTTGTGAACACAGTACTCATCAGTATTCCAGCTGTATGATGGTGGCCTGTAGATAGACCAGTGATGGACATTCTGAGCAGCATTCCACATCATTGGGACATGATGACAGGCAAACAAACAAACACTGAGCCTGACCACCCAATTCTAAGCATCACCTCTTACAACACGCATAGGATGCTCGGCTCCAATACAAACCAAAATTCCCCAAGGGGTTCATGACAGTAGAATTAGCTTTGTCCATGTTGTATAGTGTCAGCGCCCTGTGCAATATCCAACTAACAATGACTGAATGTGTGTATGTGACACATGGTGTGTGACCACACGTGTGACACAGTCGTACCTGGAGGAGTCACACATGGCAAACAGCGGCCTCTTTCCACCGTAGGAGTCAATGTCTGCAAACACTGGAACAAAACACATAGCTTGAACTATGTATGACAACCTGCTTATAGTATTCATGATGTCACCGTACAACATCCATCATGGTAAGGCCTTAAGTAGGTTTGTTTGTTTGTTTAGTTGTTTGTTTGTTTGTTTGCTGCCACACTCAGCAATATTCCAGCTATATGACAATGATCTGTAAGTAATCAAGTCCGAACCAGACAATCCAGTGATTGACATCATGAGCACTGATCCATGCAATTGCTGAAGACCTATTCTAACCCATATCTTCACGATTAGGTGGGTGGTTGTGTTTGGGTAGGTGGGTATGTGGTTGGGTAGGTTTTAAGGTGGGTTGCTGGGTGATTTGGTAGGTAGGTAGGCAAAACCCTGCCACTATGTCTGAGTACTACTGTAAAGTGAGCAGTGTTTTATGTATAATTGTGTTGTTGGCCAGTGAGTACCACTTGTCAGCAATGTGCTGACATCATATAGTCCTGATGCAGTGACACTTGGATCCATCACAACACTGACATCATATAGTCCTGATGCAGTGACACTTGGATCCATCACAACACTCCTCATCATGATAGGTCATACACAACATCATCACATACAGAAGTCACTAGTTACCAGTGTTCATCAACTGCACCCACTGAGTATACTGAGATCAACAGTAGATGCACATCACACAACATCAGGAGAGTCAGTTCCTGTTACCCTGTAGACAGGTAACCAATCATTGCAGGAAAAGAATAACTTCATTAACATGTTTAAACTTTCCTTGTCCAGCCAATCCATCGTCACAATATGGCTGAAATATTGCTGATGTGACGTAAAGCATAAACTCACTCACTCCAGACAATCCATGACCAAAAATATGCTAACCTCAAACAAATTGCAAAAGAATGTATTTTAGTTGTTTCAAGATAGAACTGTTTGCTACATGACATAAAAAGTCCAGAAATATTCAGCATGAGGAACATTTTCAAAACAGTTTCCCTTAATCCCCCCTGTATGTGGTTTTTAACCACCTTGATATGAAACTGTCCGGTTTTTATCGGATTTGACTTTACATCTCTGTGTTTTCACATTATAATGTCATCTTTTAAATAGCCCAATCTCTTTCCAAATAAACGTCATCACAACGTGGATGAGCTTTTCACTTCCCTTTGCCTCGAGAAATTTCCATGTTTTCCTGATAAGGTCGGCTTGAAGGTCAACAGAAGGTTGTTGAAGGTCGACTGTGCCTGTCAATGAGGGGACTATACATGCTGCGAGCGTGACGAGCTGACGCCTTAACCACTAGGCTACCTCAGCACCCCGAATATCAAATGGTCAGCCCCAATGCAGCTGTGCCATGACATGGAGCTGTAGGAGATCTTTGTGACAAGTTGTTTGCTTTCAAAGCCAACAATGATGGGGTCAGAAAGGATTATCAGATCAAATACTGTACTCAGCAGTGTTCGCCAGTAACACTCACTTGTATGTATCATCTAACTTCAGTGTGAGGCACTGTTTTTATGACTAATGGATGTGTTACATCGGTATCTGGGAAAAGCTGAAAACTTCACCCGTTGGAAACAAACAACTCTCTGAAGTTAATCAGCCTTAACTTGTCTTTTATTACTGTAATTTGGTACACATTGTCGAATTAGAATGAAGTGATACCATCTAAAACCCTTTGTGGTCAGCACCATTGTGTCCAGTAGAGATATAAGAGGACCAGTAGATTTTTCTATGGGCTGGTCCTTTTGACCACTGACAAATTTCAGCCGGTGTCAAACACTACTCGGCATCTTCGAGTCAATGCTACACTGAAGGGCTGAGTTTATGAAACCAGGCAACATCTTTTTCATAACGTGTAGTTTTGTTGGTACAAGCACTGCATGTCTTTAATACTACAGCTAATTAATATTTCAACACTGAAATGTGGTATTGTGCCAGGTAACATCACTGTGAAGGGAGATAACTCATTACCTGGTTCAGGTGTCGGTAAAACCCGCAATATTCTCACAGGTCCCTGTCGGAGTGACATCACTTCCTGTGCCTCTCCATTGCACTGAAGATGTAAAAAATGTACAAGCACAGAAACAAGCTGGATCAAAGTTCTAGTGTCAATTAAACAGAGTGGATCATGCAAAACTGCAGTTCTAACTAGATTCAGAATACTCCAGCTTTTATATCCATAAATTGTGTCACTTTTTGGCCCTTAACATTTCAATTTGGATACAGACTATTAAAAACATGATACCTAAGAAACATGCATTGATATTTCAATGAGAAACTTTCATGTATTATTTTCCTAAAGTGACATTTCTTCTGCGGTTCAATATATTATTTGAGCTGTAACATGCTTCTCCAAAGCCAGTGAGAAGGCAGGGTTCTACCTTACACAAACTATTGGATACTAAACACATAAAAAAGTATGTCTGATTGAATCATTTAAACCAATTCAACTGACATTTATTACGTCATAAGAATTACAATTAAAAGATTCAAAATTAAGACGTGGCATTTCCCATTGTCTTCACTCAATCACACGTTTTCACTTGTTTCAGAGCATGTTAAATGTCACGCCTTCATGTTAACAGTGCAACAGGTCGCCTGTCTGGTCATAGTTGAAAATGGATCATCATCGAAGCAACATTTGTGTTCTGTGTGTTATGTTTTTCATACATACAAATCAAAATTCCCAAAAAAGAGGCGGTAAAGAAGCACACATCCTTCATATGGACAGTCAAAGTTCACCTTGGGTTCTCCTTACACAACCTGAAGGCTTTCAGATCTGTATGCTGTAGACAATACATCGATGCACCATGAGTTTTATCGCTGAGATACAATACACAATACATATTTTCTGTATCGATACCAGACCACACACTTGCTGAAATATTGAAATATATTACCTGTGACTTGCTTAAAGAATCCCCGCATTTCCGTCAGTCAAACATGGCAAAATGTGTTGTAATTTGAGTTCCAAGTTCTCTAATAATAATAGCCGCTACAAACATGTGACTACAGTTAGCTTTTCTTTTTGAACCTGCTCTGCAATATTTATTGTCAAGAAGAATCCATGCAATTTGATGTAAATATGTGTATCAGGATATGCATTGCATCATGACACATGTACCATGATATGTATTGTGACCTTGTACCATTTCACCCCTTATTCTAATGGGGGCGGTTTAAGTGTTCGTGGACTATTGCTAAAAGCGACGTTAAACCATACTCACCGTCACATGCCATATTTGGACACCGTTGCTGTAACCAATGATCAACAGCAGTGGAGGACCACCTGCTTCATTCACATGGAAGTTGGGGTTGTGAGACAAATCTGAAATAAACACCATTGGCGTTCTGACTGAGGCAGTTTAGATGATGTGCTTTAAACACTGTTTGGACTCATCTCATCATCCTAGCAACTAATATTCATAACCAGACAGTTCTACTTGGCAACTTGGCTGTGTGTAATCACAGACTGTGTTTCATGGTACATCCAGCTGGAGTATTGTTCACTGTTGCACACAACAACATTGACTCACTCAATCAAATTCCACAAGAATTTCCAAAGACAGAGCGAAGTGTATGTCAGCTGTAAGTTGATTGGTCAAAATGATACTCTCCATTGATTGGTTAGTTATACTGAGATGTGAATAACATTATCATGATTATGTTAGTCAAATCAAACATTCAGGAAAAAGAGACTGAATGTTTTTTTACAGTCAACATCAGTCAATAATATTCCAGTCAAATGAAGATGGACTGTAAATCATTAAGTCCTGACCAGACACAAATGACATCTGGCATATTACTGGCATCACATTTGCCATGCAATGTGTATCATAATAATTATCATACCATTGACATCACATCTCTCAAACTTCACCCACAGAATCTTGTCTTTGTCATCTGTTTTCTGTGTTCCACTGTATGCCTAGAACAGTAATAAACAACAGTCAATAAACATCGGTTAATAAATATCAATCAATAAACATGTCAATAAACATTGGTTAATAAACATCGGTCAATAAAAATCAATCAATAAACATTGGTTGATAAACATCAGTCAATAAATAACAGTCAATAAACATCAGTCACATACCTTCAGTCAATAAACATCAGTCAATACATCAGTCAAATAACATCAGTCTATGAACAGTCAATAAACATCAGTCAATAACTGTCAGTCAATAAACAGTCAATAAACATCAGTCAATAAACATTGGTCAATGGTCAACATATAGTTACCAACTGTAAGGCCATACTTTTTTAATTCAATGTTTAATGGATATATTCCAGCTTTTCTACACAAGGTCAGTTGAAATAAAAAAATAAATAGCTATGTCAATCATTTATTTATTTATTTGAATGTCAAACTGCAGCTGGCTTCCTGAATCACTGATAGTGATGTAGACATGGAATTTATGTATAACATTTTATATTGTATAACAGGGTCTATATAACTAGCATCTGTAGGGGCAGCAGGCCTGTGAAACAAAAATAAAAAATGTGTGGCCTAATGTAATTGCTGGAGCTTATAAACAGCTTATATGCAAACAGCCACAGATGATATCACTTTAACTGTCCTGGAACTAATCATGCTAATTGTGAAACAGTCGGACCTAATTATATTTAACATGACAAAAGTCATTTAGTTTTTTTCTAATTTTAGTTTTTATATGACAGTCATATTTTTTAACAATCTAATTGTAGCAGGGTGTGGAGTCATCCCACAGATGACATCCTTACCTTGTCAGCTTGCTGACAGGGTTAACCTCTTTGATCATGAGGACAAGGCGTCCGACCTCGGATCAGAAGGTCCGTGGTTCGGATCCCATCACGTGACTCGGAAATTTTATGGCCGCTACATTGGCACCCAACGTGAGGCTGAGCACGTTCATATTAAATTTGAGCAAAATAAGCCTCAGTACCCTACTATGCGGCCCGGGACGTGCCTTCTGTTGACGGGGGAGTATGCAGCAGGGCATGGAGTCATCCTACAGATGACATCCTTACATTGTCAGCTTGCTGACGGGGTTAACCTCTTTGGTCATTTGGACAGACGTCCGACCTCGGATCAGAAGGTCCGTGGTTCGAATCCCATCACGTGACTCGGAAATTTTATGGCCGCTACATGATAAAAACTAAAAGGCCTAAAAGGTTTCCTATTGACGCACCTGTACTTGGGGCACAACATCAGCAATCAGGTCCACCACACTCTCCACCACAGACTTGTCACTGGAGAAAAACAACCAATGTTATAACCATGGCTGAGAACGTCCCGAGGAAGAGTGTCATCTCTGTCAATCTGTACTAATCATCAATCATAGTACTCACAACTTGATCATTGAAATCACATATTTGACAAAGCAATGCGATCAGACTTGGGAGTTGGGTTTTAAATGCTGGTACAAACAGTATTTCAGTTATCAGCAGGTTATATATCATTGTACTATGTTTTTTTATTTGTTGTTTTGTTCTTTAACGCCGCACTCAGCAATACTCCAGCTGTATGATCGTGGTCTGTAAATAATCAAGCCTGGACCAGACAATCCAGTGATTAGTATCATGAGCATCGATCCTTGCAATTGGGATATGATGGGAAAAAAAGCATCACCAAGTCAGGCCCGCTAAATACAATGTTTATTCATTAACACAATGTTTATTCCTAATGCAGGATATTTACCATCCCCAAACACACTCGCGTAATAACCTCTATGTTTCTCATTCATTCAAAACTACAGACGAAATGGGTACTATTTGCACCTGTAAGCTTGGGGCCGCACTGATGCGCAGTTGAAACGGGATGTTCTTCTCGGAGAATCGGCGGCCATTTCGATCTACACGATCAAGCCAATTTTGGGGGCAAAACATCCACTTGTTACTTGAAAATACTTCGTCCTTACATTTACAGCTGATGTTTTCATAGGAAGTGACGTCACATGTTTTCGTCCCACAATGCAGTACTGTCAAAAATAGGAGATAACTCTTGTATGTACAAAAGCCGTATTTCCAAAGAAAGATGCGCATTAAAATAATCTTAAATGACGAAGTAATATTGATACTTCTGATGACGTGTTCCTCTAACAAAGAGAGAGAGAAACCTACATTACAAATGACGCTGTTTCTTACGCATTCTTACTTATTAACCAAACATAAGCATAACCTTGGTGTAGTTTGTTTCAAAGAGACGTATCATTTCAATTTATCTTTATTTATAACAGACCATATTCGGTATATATTATGGTCTCTGCTTATAACCGTAAAACTTTCATTCTCCTCTAATAAAGTGGAACGTTTCTCTCATTGTAATGTCCCTCAACCACAAATAATTTCCTATATAGTAAAGTGCACTAAAATAATACTCTAATTGTTGCTAAATGTCCCATCGCCAATTCATAAACAACTAAAAGCTGTCTTTCATGAGAATATACTTGTAAGGGAGTATCGGAAATACCACGTAATTGTACAAGATTTACATGTCCCGGCTTACGTTCGTTACGTTTTAAGATATATATCGCTTTCATTGCGTTATTTTCTGTTGTGACAGACTAGGATGTTTGATTTCAGTACAGGTTATATGTATACGGCCGGTTATCATGCATTGACCCTTACCAATAACAATAACCGCATCACATACCTGAAAGAAGTTAACAACAGTCAAAAAGTGATTAAATTTAGGCATATTGTATCGTTATACGTTTCAGATAATCTTACATTCAATACTTATAAAACAACAAAATACATGTAATTATTGATGGGTCGGTTCAAGTTCGTGTGATATATACAGTTTAAAAAATGATAAGTATAGTACATACTACATAGAGGCTATTTCAGGTGTCGAGTGAAATATCTTTTTCTCATCGAGTGACAAGTGACAATATCTCCTTTTCCGCCGTCACGAGATGAGAGAAACGTGATATTTCACGAGACATGAAATATCCTATTTATCATATATTTTTTGTGTAGTTGTCTACCTGAAAATAAAATTATTATATTACAACACTCACGAAGATCCGTTTAAGCCCCATGTAACTTGTTTGGTTTGGAAGCATTATGCATACTGTGTATGTATATCACGTGATTTCAAGTTGAGTTGTATTATTAGCTCAGGATTAGCGATCAAAGTTCAGGGGTATGCTTCTGAGGGAACATGTATTGAAATGTACGTTACAGATAAAGGAAACGAAGACAATGCTTGCTATAAAGCAGCAAACAGGAGAATAATTTATCTATCTTTATTACAACTTCAGTTATTCCAACGATAGACATGATGACACACAATTTGAAGAACGGACATTCAAAATTGGATTACCCCGACAACTGATGTTTCAAAATATTCGAATTCAATGAAAATGAATCTGGTTCTGTCAAACCCTTACAATGGTTACTCCAAAGACCCACAATTATCGGAGATGATATCTTCTGTTTTTGATGGCTACAACAATATATATCACACCACAACATGCGATTCGAAGATCTACAACAGTTGTAACGTACATTACAAATTTGCCGGATTTTGTATACAAGGCCACCATGTTTTCAAACAATGTTCTCAGCAGACACATTACTAATCAAAGCAAGGATATCTGAACAAGATCTTCACTTGGATAAAATATAGGTGAACAAGATAAAATAATTTTACTTCTTTCATTATACTTTCAGTTACGTTAAGAGATTGTGAAAGAAAAACAGATAATTGATGTTTAAAATGAAAGTGTCAAACACCTAGGGCCATCAGATTTAGCCAGGAACATTTATCAACACGAGCATGCAAATTAAAAAAAACAATGGTTCCTTTGAAATATAACTAGACAATTATACACTAGTAATGAACATTTCAACTGTAACGAACATCAAACATCCAACGAAGATATGTTTCATACTTAATTTGTTTGACTTAGTATGTGATTTAAGCCGCATATAACTCCCTTCATGTGTACCTATTTCAGATTAAATGATGAAACATTATCATTGTTATCACATCCTATTCCTAAATCGCTCCTCAATAATTTCAATGTCAGAAGAAATCAGTTTGAATTTTACCTGCGTTAAGATTTACATAACATTCAGTCGTGAAGGTAAAGTTGAATTCAGGTGGACAGGTTTACTGACTTCCATTAATAAAATGTTTGTGTAAAGACATTTGTCTTTAAAACATTATTAACAGAACAATAGTTTTCTCTAAATGTCAAAAGTTTGGCAGAAAACATCTATATTATCCAAAACTCACTTAATTTTGAAAAGGTTTCTTTTTATGAAATGTACGTTACATCTTTGTTCAGCAAAATGTAACAGTATTTCGTGTTGACATATAAATGCACTCATTTCTCATCTTGTTTAAGACATGTCCACTGGTTGTTACTCAAGATCACAAGCAAATGTAATAAAATGAACAAGAAGCACACTATCTGCCATAAGCATAACCAATCTTGGATGCTAGTCTGCAGCCTATGGATGAGTGAAGGAAGCACTTTGTAGCCTTAAGACAAAGCTAATTTCACGAAAATAGGTCGTTTCGTATAATTTGGTAACGAACATATCAGTAACGTACATTACAAAACGATTGATTAGGTTTGACATTCATCTTTTTAAACAAGATCGTATAAATAGCAGTAGTACGGTGGCCCATACCCGCCACTGGTGGGATCATTTCCCCCTATATGCCTCTATATTTTGCCAGATACTTTTCGTTTCAAATTGGCATACCATGAAAGACCAGAATTACTTCCAGATCAGTGCCCTGGCAATCGACAGGTTGGAGATTGTATCCGTAAGATTGAGCTTTGATTTTAAAGCAGGTATCACCTGCTTGATGAGCCATTAGCGGCCGCCAGATAAAATATAGAGGCATACAGTGAAAGATGATCTCACCAGTGGCGGGTATGGGCCACCGTACTGTAGTTTGAATAGATCCTGTCAGTGACTGTGGATGATTTACTTACGTTGTTTTCATGTTTGAGCCTGTGATTGGGTTTCTGTGAACGGTGACGTACATTTCACTTTGAAAATTACTATCCCATTTATCCTTATTATCATGACTATGAACCGTGTATTAATGAGGATAGCATTGTAAATACTTTGTTATGTATCTTGGTACTTTTGTCATATTACATGACAACATTTGCTTCTAATAATAGATCTCCCCATTGGTTATAATTTAGGTAACGGACATTTCATTAACTTGTGGGACACATAAACACACATTTTGAAAACTTCAGATGACAATTGAAGAAGTATAATTTGCGTGACCGTAGAGCTGTCAAGGTGGTGTATCAATGGAAATATACAATGCTGCATTATTGTGGCCAAGTGTTTCACTAAATGTTTCTTTTGGTGTTGAACTCTTCACTGGGACTGTAACGTACATTTCCTTTTTCCACACATATGGTAAACTACAGACACAATATCTGACTTGGGCAGTGATGTGGGGCAAAAAGCGACTTTCGTCTGACCAATGGATCCGTCTCCAAGTTCTCAGATTCGAATTCTGTCATGCAATACACCATGCTATGACTCGTCTAGCCCTCAGTCCTGCTGCTTTCAGCCGGTTCCTGACTGTTCTAGTGCTGAAACGACGATTGGGCAACCACAGCTGTTTCAGACGAGTATTTGTTAAAAAGGGTTCTCGGCGTATGAGACAAAGAAGGTCCCTGTCTTTCACCAAAGGTTCATCCCTTATCATCCTTGCCGAAACCTTTCCAAATGTGTAAGGTTATTCCTCTTCCAGTGCCTGTGAACAATACATCATCCAACTACACTCAACTCCTTGATATTCCTCCTTACTTTGCCCTGTCCTTTGATTCTCTTCATTTCCTCAGTATGGACAGTTCTTCTTTTTCACCCTGCTCCGGTGATGAATTTGTCATGCACTGTTCTATCAGAATAGCTCTACAATCCTCCCCCAAACCATCATGTAGCCTTGCACTCTTTCAAAATAGTATGAGTCTGATCAAATCTCTTTGTGATTTTCGTTATGCCACCAAACCTCTGCCACCTCAGCTTATTTCTATTGATGCCTCAAATGTTCTTGTATATAGAATTCCCTTCCTTACTCTCACCTGTCCTGGTACTCATCGTATGATTCCCAGTTGTAACTTCTGTCTGATTGCTAGTCCATGTTACTGTTCTCTGTCCACTGAAGATCTGTATTATCCTGCACCCTTCAGTTCTTGTCGCGCTTCACAACACCAGATCTCACACCTTCACCCTGTTAATCTTGCTCTTCTTCAACACTTCTTTGAGGACTCTACCCTCTCTAGTATCATTCGTGATACAACTTTCAGAAAAGCAGTTCACCATTCCAAAATTTGATATATTTACTCTTATTATCTGGGGGGGGGGGGGGGGGGGTGTCTCTGGTGTCCACGAGGGCTGACGACAATTTGGATGGATGACTGTTACGATTGGTCAGTCTGATTTGGAGTGTGTTCAGCTACAAATGTATTACTTGACTTTGAAATAAAGACATGTACATTATTAACTGACTGTCAAGTAACTTTACCATAGTTTTAAGTCACCCTAGTTAAAAAAAGCACAAACGATAGCATTCAATATCGACAGTTGCCCGAGTTGCTTTCGCTCAATTTCAATGACACGTCACATTAATAGCGTGTATGACCACCCCTGCTACAAGACACGCAAAAACCTCCCCCGCGCTCAGAAAAAACTCTCGTGGGATACGTCGCCATTCTTCTTGGAGAACCTGGATCAGTTCTTGTTGGTTGGGTGGAGGATGTGGTCACTGTCGAACACGGCGATCCTTGTTATGGGGGCAAGGCAGGCCACGGAAACACGTTGACGTTGTTGGATGCAAGGAAGTTCTGTACGATAGGGGCTAAATGGGGTCTTGAGTTGTTATGCTGATAAAAGACACCGCGTTGCAGCTGTTGTAGAAATGGTATGACAATCGGACGAAGAATGTCATCCATGTAACGCCGAGG